ATAATATTAATTAAAAAAAAGTTCTGAGCTACCCTTATTTTGCTTCAAAGTTTTTATTTAGAAATTTAATTTTTTTTCCTGAAATTTCCCTCTTAAAATGAAGATGCGTGTTATACGCCTGTGCGTGTTATACGCCGATAAATACGGTAGATGATAGAATAGAATAGAATAGAATAGAATAGAATAGAATAGAATAGAATAGAATAGAATAGAATAAAGAGTTGGAAGGGACCTTGGAGGTCCTCTAGTCTAGTCCAATCCCCTACTGAATAAAATAGAATAGAATTTAGAACAGAATAGAATAGAATTTAGAATAGAATTTAGAATAGAATAGAATAAAATTTAGAATAGAATAGAATCTAGACTAGAATAGAATAGATAGATGATAATAGGTGATAGAAGATAGATAGAAGATATAGAGATGAAAGAAAGAAGGAAGGAAGGAAAGAAGAAAATAGAAGATATCTGTAATATGTAGAGTAGAAAGAAATGATAGATGATAGAAGATAAGATAGATGATAGACAGACAGACAGACAATGAATGGATAGGTGGATGGATGGACACAGAAGACAAACAGATCGTAGAATCATAGGACTGGAAGGGACTTTGGAGGTCTTCTAGTCCAACCCCCAGGGTCCCAAGGCAAGAAGCCTTATACTATCCTGGACAAACCTTTCCCTGAAGTCACTTTTCACCATTTTTATGTAGGGCTTCTCCAAGACCTGAAAATTATTTCAAGGTTTCATTTTATTCACCGACTTTGCAAAACCCGTTTCCACTCCCCTGTAACTAAAGGAGGGGAAGAGGGGAACTGGGCTTTGTGTGTCGCTGAATCACAACTTGCAAATACTCCAACCAACCGAGAGACGCTGCCGTGTGGTCCAGTCACACTTGCAGTCGTCTCTGTGAATTTGGATGGGGGGAAAAAACGGCAAACTTTTAACTTCCATAATGAAAGAAGAATTGCAGGCAGAAGCGAAGGAAAGAGGGACCAAATAAACCACCTAACTCAATTCACAAATGGGAAAAACTCGGTCTCAAGAACCTGAGTTTCAAAAAAAGAAATACACCCTCATCTTAACATTGCAAGGAGGATGTAAAAATAAGAGTCGGGTGGGCTTTTTTTTTTTACGAAAAAGTAAAAAAATAAGAATAAGGTCAGAGCTTTGGGAGATCTTTCCTGGAAGGGAATCCCCAATTCCAAAAAGATGTAAACTGCCAATCAAAACCAAAAAGCCCAGGAAAGAAATGTGGGGGAGAGGAAAAGGGGGAGGGGGGAGACGGGCCACCACGTCCTCCCACCTGTGCTGTTCTCGCATAGCGCTCATTTGGCGCAAGCTGTCCTCGTGAACCTCGGCCAGCCGCTCCGTCACGCGCTGTTCTAAGGCCACCTTCAGCTCCGACTCCAGCTTGGCCTTCTGGGTCTCGAAACGGGCCTGCAAAGAGGAAAGGGGGAAAGGCCGGCATTGCGGGGGGCTCCTTGGTGCTCTCGGAGCTTGGCTGTTCGCCCACAGACGCCTCAGGACCCAGCTAGGGAATGCCATCGGGATGGAGGAGGAGGAGGAGGAGTTGGTGGAAGTCCTTGGTGCTGCTCTCTGAGCTTGGTGGCTTTCCCGCAGACGTTGCATGACCCAGCTAGGGAATGTCATCAGTGCTGGAAGGGAAGAGTTTACCTTCAGCAAGCTCATCTCCATCTTCACGGTGTCCCTCTCTCGCCGCGCGGCTTCCAGGTCGGCCTGCAGGCCCTGCATCTCTGCCTGCGCCGTAGAGAAGGCCTGTTGGGCTTCCAGGGACTTCTGGGCTTCCCGCTGGGCCACCATCTAGAGATGGGGACAGAGGCAAGCAGAGGACAAGGCGGGGCAGCGGCCGGGACAGCGTTGGGCTGAAACACAGGCAGTCCCTCGACTTACGGCCGTTGTGTTTAGTGACCGTTTGAACTTACAATGGCACTGGTGGGGGGGAAAAAGGGACTCCTGTCTACATTTTTCCCCACGCTTAACGACACCCCTGCGTGATCCGGTGGTCAAAATTTGCACGCTCGGCAACCGGCTCACGTTTACGACGGCTGTTGTAGTGTCCAACGATCTCCCCTTTTGCAACCGTCTAACAGGTAAAGTCAGTGGGGAAGACAGGCTCGCTTAACGACTGCACGATTCACCGAACAACCGCGGCAGAAAGGTCGTAAGGGGGGGTGCGAAACTCACTCGAGGACTGCCTTGCTTGGGCACTAGGGTGGTCATAAGTCAAAGGCTACCTAATATACACAGCATTTGGAGAAAGAAAAGCTGGTGGGTTTTTTTTTCTGTTTGTAAGCCAAGAGTTAGCGATGACCATTTAACAGATTTAACCGAGTTGGAAGGGACCTTGGAGGTCATCTAGTCCAACCCTCCCCCCCCCCCCCCCCCAGCTGGAGACCAAGCATTTATGACGGTTGCTGTGTCCTAGGTCAGGTGATCCCCCTTTGTGGCAAAGTCGGGGGGCGGGGAGAAAGAACCAGATTCACGTAACAACCGTGTTCCTAACTTAACAACTTCAGTGATTCAATGAACAACGGTGGTCAGAAAAACGGGGGCAAAACTCACTTGACAACTTGCTCACTTTAACAACATAGATTTGGGGCTCCATATATATATATATATATCAGAATCCCTCGGCCAGCTCCGCTGAGGAAATTCTGGGAACTGCCAAAGTTGAGAAAACACAGCGATAAAGAACGCTGTTCCCTTTAAGAAACTTCTTAAAAGCTACACATCCTCATTTTCAGCACTTTTCCCCCCCCCCCCCCCCCATTTTTACCCTGCCTTTCCTCTGAAGCTCAAAGGACTAAATCACTGAGGACTAGAAACTTCCCAGAGTAAAACCTGAAAGGCAGGTAAGGCACCCCCCCCCCCCCCCAAAAAAAATGACTCTACTAATCCAGACTTGCATTTATTATTATGCGTTAGATTTTTTATCCTGTCTTTACAAGTAACTCAAAATGGTGAATATATACCTGCTGTCCTGCTCCTATTTTCCCCACAACAATCACCCTGTGAGATGGTTTTTGGGTTGAGAGAGAGGGAGCATCACCCAGCCAGCTTTCATATCTAAGATAGAACTAGAACTCACCTTGACGACTGGCCCAAAGTCATCTAGCCAGCTTTCATGGCTAAAGCGGGACTAGAACTCCCATCTTCCAATGATTGGCCCAAAGCCACCCAGCTGGCTTTCAGAGTGAAAACAGAACCAGAACTCCCATCTCCTGGTGACTGGCCCAAAGTCCACCCAGCCAGATTTCATACCTAAGATGGAACTAAAATTCATTGCCTTCTGCTGATTGGCTCAAAGTTACTTAACCAGCTTTCATGCCTGAGGCAAGATTAGAATTCACTGTCTCCAGCTGATTGGCTCAAAGTCACTTAGCCAACTTTCATGGTTGAAGGAAGATTAGAATTCACTGTCTCCAGCTGATTGGCCCAAAGTCACCTAGCCAACTTTCATGGTTGAAGGAAGAATAGAACTCCCATCTCCTGGTGGCTGGCTCAAAGTCAACTCAGCCAGCTTTCATGGCTAAAGTGTGACTAGAACTCCCTGTCTCCCGATTTCTAGCCTGGTGCCTTTATCCCACACCGGCTCTTAGCTGATGCCGCGACTCTAACTTTACTTCCAAACCTGAATCCTTGGCTTAATGATGGGATAGTGGTTTGACCAACTACCTTCTTTACCTCCAGTTTGCAAGCTAGAGCCATTTCAAAGAGGAGACCTGGTCAACGACTTACGGTTTGGGAAGGCCGCTGTTTTTCCACCTTGCGGAGGGGCCCAATCAGCTGCAACTCCTCCCAGACCTTGTGCTCCATTGCAAAAGCCAAGCCTTCCCTGGGACCAGCAGCCCAGGAACTGAGTTTTTCAGGTTGGGGTCAGGCAGGGTAGCCCCACCATGCCAAATGGGATGGGTGTGGGGGGCCCCCCCTTTCTCCTCTGGGGAGCCAGCTACCTATCCCCAGCTGCTAAGAGAGAGGAAGTCACACACAAAAATAAAAAGAAGGGAAGAAGGAATTTAGGGAGTCTGCCACCAGCTCAGGGACTTTGGGATAACCGGGGGAAGGAAGAAGGTGAGTGAGAAGGCTGCTGGATTCACAACAAATGCTTTAAGAATGAAGGAAAAGATGCTAATTGGATGGGCTGGCTTTCCTGCAACTAATTTCTCTGCTTGATTTATTTATCTGTCTCCTGCCTTTCTTATTTTTAAAAATAGCACAAGGCAAAGAATAATATCCAGCAAACCTTCCTCCTCCAATTTTTCCCAGAACAACCACCCCTGTGGGGTGGGTGGGGCTAAGAGAGAGGGGAGTGGCCCAAGGTCACCAAGCCAGCTTTCATGGCTAAGGTGGGACTAGAATTCACAATCTCATTGGGAACTGGCCCAAAGTCAGCCGGCCTTGGGAGATAATGCAGGACTAGAACTCACCGTCTCCTGGTGATTGGCCTCAAGTCGGGATTAGAACTCATGGTCTCCTGGTTTCTAGCCTGGTGCCTTAACCAATAGACAAAACTGGCTCTGACAGAAGAAAATATCTGTAGCTCAGGGTTGGACTGTGGAGTCCTTGGGGCTCTCTGAGCTTGGTGGTTTTCTTGCAGACATTTCACGACCTGACTAGGTAACATCATCAGTGCTAGAAGGGAGGGGGATTTGCAGAAAGAGCAGCAGGAGGATTGTTGGGGGTCCTTGAGTTCTGCTGTTTGCTTGCAGACGTTTCGTGACCCAACTAGGTAACGTCATCAGTGCTCTAAGTGGCCTCTTAGCTTTATGTTGTTGTTTTTCACTTTACCCAAAAACAACAAAAACAACCCAGCAGCCTAACTTGGAAGTCAACCTAAGGCGGGCTGACTCTCTACTCCCTCCTCCTGCAAACAAGGAGGCCAGGACAGCTTGGCTCGAGTTCCAATTCAGCTTGTGGCTGCGGAGACGCACCCCCACCCAGACCGGGAGGGACCTCCACCCTCACCTTCTCCTTCTCGAGGTGCAGCCGGCTCTCCTCCTGCGCCGCCTGGAGCTGCTCCTCCAGCTGTTTCTCCCGCTGGGCCCAGATCCTCTGCTGCTCCTCCAGGGTGGCCCGCAGAGCGTCCTGCTGCCGCCGGTCCAGATCCCACTCGGCTTCCAGGTTCTGCCCCCGGACACGCTCTGCCTCCAAGCTGCAGGAGAGGGCGGCCTTTTCCTTCTCCTGGGGGGGGGGGGGGGGGGGAGAAACAAGAGAGGGGGAAAGAACAAGGCTCAGCTTTGGGCAGCTGGTTTGCAGGCGTTGGGCTTATTCTTAGCTCTCAGTTTAGGTTTAACCCTGGTTTGCTGAATAACAGAAGAGTTGGAAGGGACCTTGGAGGTCCTCTAGTCCAGCCCCCTGCTCAGGCAAGAGACCCTATACTATTTCTGACAAATGGCTGTCCAATCTCTTCTTGAAAACCTCCAGTGATGAGGGAGGGAGGAGAAATAAAGAATGGAAGAGAAAAATATGAGTGAATGTAGGAAGGAAGGAAGGGAGAAATAAAGAATGGAAGAGAAAAAATGGGGGTGGGAGGACGGGAGGGAGGAAGAAAGGAAGGAAAAATAGAGAAGAATGGAGGAGTAAAAATGTGAGTGAATGTAGAAAAAAGGAAGGAAGGAAAGAAGGAGAAATAAAGAATGGAGGAGAAAAAAAATGTGACTGAATGTGGAAAAAAGGGAAAGAAAAGAAGGATAGCAGAATAACGGAGTTGGGAGGGGACCTTGTAGGTCATCTAGTCCAACCCCCTGCTCCGGCAGGAGACCATATGCCATTCCAGACAAAGGGTTGTCCAACCTCTTCTTAAAAACTTCCAGTGTTGGAGCACCCACAACCTCTGGACAGAAGTTGTTCCACTAATTAATAATCAGTGAATTAACTGTTAATTCCTGTTAATACTGTTAATAATAATCAGTTATTATTAATCAGTGGATCAACTGAATAAACCATCCATGGCTGTGTAAACTATTGGTTTACAACAGGGGTCTCCAAACCGGGTGACTTTTAAGACTTGTGGACTTCAAGTCCCAGAATTCCCCAGCCAGCCCTTTTCTTCACTTTGCACACTCACCATCGAGTAAGAAAGTTACCCTATCAAAAACGGCGATGAAGTAGTCTGGCTGCGTTTGTCCTATATCCATGCTGAATTCTGGTAAAACCTTGATGGTTGGGGAAATTCTGGGAGTCGGAAGTCCACAAATCTTAAAGTGGCCAAGTTTGGGGTACAGATTGCAAGGCTGGGCTCTACGTGTCAGGCGAAATCTTTAATGCAAGGTCAGCCTCAAAACCAGGCCCCACTTTCTCTCCCCCCCCTTTTTCTGTTTCTTTGTTTTTTTCTCTCTGTGTCCCCCCCCCCCGCTCTTTTCCTCTCTCTCCATTTTTCTTTCTCCCCCTCCCTCTCTGTCTCTCTCTTTATCTTTCTGTTTCTTTCTCTCTCTCCCTCCCTCTCTTTGTCCCTCTCTCTCCATCCTTCTCTGTTTTTCTGTTTTTTTCTCTCTCTGTCCCCTGCTCTTTGTCCCTTTCTCTCTTTCTGTTCTTTCTCTCCATCCCTCCCTTTGTCCTTTGTTTTTCTTTCTCTCTCTCCCTGTTTCTTTCTTTTCCCACCTCCCCCCCCCCTCTCTCTCTCACACACACACACAGAGAAGCAACTCTTACCAAGGTCTCTTTCTCCCTGCAGTACTGGCTGGCCAGCTGCTGTTCCCGGTGGAGGGTGGACAAGGCCTGCTGGAGGCGTCCTTCCAGCTCTGACATTTTCTAAAGAAAAGCAAAACCGACATGGAACATCCTTAAGGACAGACCCAACCCGGAAGCGCAGGCAGTCCTTGCCTTATGACCAACAACCGAGCCCAAAATTTACACTGCTAAGTGAGGCATTTGTTTCAGGGAGCTTTGCCCCCATTTTAAGACCTTTTCTTGCCGCCATTATTAGGTTAGTAAGACGATTGTTAAGTGAGTCTAGCTTCCACCCATGATGACTTCGCTGGTCAGACGGTCGCAAAGGGAGAAATCGCGTGACACAGTGACATGGCGACCGCCATAAATACGAGTCAGTTGCCAAGCGTCTAAATTATAATCATAGGGGAGGCTGCAACGGTCGTAACGGTGAAACGTGGTCCTAAGCCACTTTTTTCACTGCCGTTTTAAGTTCAAACGGTTGATAAATGAACAGTTGTAAGTTGAGGACTATCTATCTATCTATCTATCTATCTATCTATCTATCTATATATATATATATATATGTTTTCTTAAGTTTTCGCGGGTACTTACATGTATGGTATTCAGCTTTGTTCGGGTATTTTCCCACGTCATTGTAGTTGTGCTTTTAAAGTTGTGGCAACGTTTCGG